GTCTTTTCAACATGCTAGTGAACAACGCCTCTTTATTTGGGAGTAGTCTGGGGGGACAGTGGAAACACAGTCACTTAGTTAATTGAAATGGGCTAAGGTGTGGAAGGGGGTCAGCAACTGGAGAGCCCAGTTGTAAAGGGTTGGGTGTTGTGCGCATGCGCAAAGCTTCTCTGATCAGCCCCGCCCCGGAGGCGGTGGCACCGCCCCCGCGCTCTGCGTCCTGACGTCAGCGGCGCGCAGAACGCAGTGACGATACCGCGGTTTTATATTGGCGCGGCCCAGTCGGCAGAGGCCTCTGCGGCGCGGTCCTCGGAGACACGCGGCTCTTCCGCGCTCTGGCCATGGCCGACTACCTGATTAGCGGGGGCACGTCCTACGTGCCGGACGATGGGCTCACCGCACAGCAGCTGTTCAACTGCGGGGACGGCCTCACCTACAAGTGCGGGCCTAGCGGACTCACCTGGGCGAGGAGGGGCGGTGCGATGGGCTGGCAGATCGGGTGGGGCCCCCACTGTGATCTCTCATGGGCGCGGGCCTGGAAACAGTTACTGTAAATTCCCCGCCCATCTCTGCACTTCAGTTTGCAGAGCTGAAGAGGGGTGGGATGGAGGAGGCATCTTGGTGCTTGGGATTTCAGGCCAGAAACTTCCGTGCACATTGAGTTGTCAGGGTGCCAAGGGTGCTGATGACAGCTAGGTGGCAGAAAAGGTCCCCTGCCACCATCAACACCTTGTCCTCTGTCCTGCCTGTGACACATGGGCAAGTGCCACACTACCCAAATGCCTTATGAGGTGATCTTTGAAGATGGACTGGCAGGCTGCACTAAGCCTGAGCCTTACTCTCAATTCGCTCCCCTCCCCCATAGTGACTTTCTCATTCTCCCTGGGTACATCGACTTCACCGCAGACCAGGTGGTGAGTATGGCCAGGAATGCTGCTGTCCCCTGGTCTTTGGGCTACCTCACCAGATTGGGCTTGGGGTGGATTCTGTGGAATGGCCTTGCTGGCATGCAAGTAATATAGGGCACCTGTTTTGTGGGATTCCTGACATCACCCTGCAATGTATATGATACTTTCCCACATTAGTGGCTTTATTTTCCAGGACCTGACTTCTGCTCTGACCAAAAAGATCACTCTGAAGACCCCACTGGTTTCTTCACCCATGGACACAGTCACAGAGGCTGGGATGGCCATAGCAATGGCGGTGAGCTCCTCAGGGTGTGTGGGCCTGGCTCTCTTTCAGAGGCATACAATCATGCTTCTCTTATACTTTGTCAACTTTTTCCTACCCATTTATCTTGCAGCTTACTGGTGGTATTGGCTTCATTCACCATAACTGTACACCTGAATTCCAGGCCAATGAAGTTCGGAAAGTGAAGGTTAGAAGGGCATGGATTGTGGTCGAGTTCCTAAGAATTGCATTGAATTGGAATGGGATGGGAGCAAGGGATTTTTCTGCTCCTAATTTAGGGTCCTTTCTTCCTACTGTGAATTCCGGATAAGCTCCAATACCTTTGTCATAAGTCAACAGAAGAGCACCAGGTGGACGGTGCTGATAGCCACCCATGTCTCCTACCCTTGGCTTTGAGGCGTTGTGTGTATATTGGTCTTGTGGCACTGCTAAAGGGGGAGTTGGCACAGACTTGAACTTCAGGCCAAAAGCCTGATGAAAGGTTCAAAAACACCCTTTCTGTCATTTTCAGAAATATGAACAGGGATTCATCACGGACCCTGTGGTCCTCAGCCCCAGGGATCGAGTGCGGGACGTATTTGAAGCTAAGGCTCGGCATGGCTTCTGTGGTATACCCATCACTGACACGGGGCGGATGGGGAGCCGTCTGGTGGGCATCATCTCCTCAAGGGATATTGATTTTCTCAAGGAGGAGGAGCATGATCGGTTTTTGGAAGAGGTGGGTGTTACTAGCAGAGCAAAACCAAGTTCTGGTAGTCGAGATTAAAGGCTTTTGTTCATATCTCTGAGGGCTGCTGCTACCTACCCTTCCAAGTTTCTGACCCTTCCATGAAATCCATATCCCTTTCTCAACAGTGACTGTGCCAATATTTGCTAGCACGTACTGTTTTTTGCTGCCACAAAGCCCACTCCCTGTGGACAAAGTATAAATGACTCTCTCGTCAAGGACCAGCATCAGCATCCTCTTCTCTTAGTCATTGTTCCAGCATAGCCCTTTTTATCTCCAAAATGTAATATGTTCCTTTTCCTTTCTACTCAATTCTCTTGCCACTAGACTGCTGCAGAAACTTTTGAGTTAAGGCAGCCTGTTGAGAGGTCCCCTCTGATTAGCCTTGCCTCATGGCCCCTCCCCCTCCTAGATCATGACAAAGAGAGAAGACTTGGTGGTAGCCCCTGCAGGCATCACATTGAAGGAAGCAAATGAAATTCTGCAGCGGAGCAAAAAGGGTAAGTTCTAGAGGTAGGAATTGTCAATGAACCCAGAAAGACCAGGGTCCTGATTCATGTTCTGCCCCCAGGAAAGTTGCCCATTGTAAATGAAGACGATGAACTGGTAGCCATCATTGCCCGGACAGACCTGAAGAAGAACCGGGATTACCCACTGGCCTCTAAAGATGCCAAAAAGCAGTTACTATGTGGAGCAGCTATTGGTACTCATGAGGACGACAAGTATCGACTAGATTTATTAGCACAGGCTGGTGTAGACGTAGTGGTTTTGGTGAGTTGATGCAGAGGCAGGGTGGGATCGTGGGTGTAATTGCGATACGAGTCTAATGGGAACTTCCTCCCTGCCCAGGACTCTTCCCAGGGAAACTCCATTTTTCAGATCAACATGATCAAGTACATCAAAGAGAAATACCCCAGTCTCCAAGTTATCGGAGGCAATGGTGAGAGAAAACTAGGCACTGAAGGATGTGGGTAAAGTGTGAGGAAGTTAGCTTCCTACCTAGACCTTCATGTGATCGTCTCCCCATTCTCACTGCAGTGGTCACAGCTGCTCAGGCCAAGAACCTCATCGATGCTGGCGTAGATGCCTTGCGTGTGGGCATGGGCAGTGGCTCCATCTGTATCACCCAGGAAGGTAAGATCCTGTGTCAGGGCTCTTAACCCCACGTGCCCTAGAGCCTAGAGCTCTTATGGGAACTATATTAAACCTTCCAAAGGGGCAGCCCCTGGGCCAAGCAGGCCTCTCTGGTTGGGTGACTTGCCTGGAAGCAAGACGAGCTCTCGTCATTCTTCACCTGCCACTCCCCCTGCCTAGCCTGGCCTCCTTGCTCCTGCTCTGCGCCCTCTCTAAACTCTGGTCTGTTTTTTTATTTAGCGGCTCCCAAGATCCCTCCAGACATAAAGTCCCACAGCCCCAAATGCCCTTCTACTGTCACGGGCTGCTATAGTAAGTTCGGCCCGGCCCAGGGGCCCGGCCCAGCTGCCCACTGCCCGGCTGGCTTGGTTGACTGTAGCTGTAGCTCCCGGGGTTTGTGGTGCTGATGGGTGGGCAGGCAAACTGTGACAGACCATGGTTTTGGGGCTGCTCAAGAACACAGCTCCCTCCTTTTCCTGGGATGTTTATAGGGTGGCACCTCCTTCAGGTAGGCCATGCTCTGCCCACATCTCCTGCAGTGTAGGCACAGCTCAAGAACCATCTGTGAAACCCTCTTCCACAGAACACTGTCCTGCTCTTGTCTGAGCTGCCCACCAAACAGGGAAGAAAAGGGTGGGTCTGTGGGTACTAACTGCACGGTGCCACCTACCAGCTGGGCGGGGCTTTCCCGGCTGCTGACTGCATGTGCCTGAGGCTGTTCTGGGCCATGCATACATGCACGTGCACACGCAGGGGCAAAATGAGGCCATCACAGCTATTTGTCTTATTCAAGGCAGGTGGGCCAGCAGCCATCCCAGACATGACCCACCCTCAGCAGGCTGCAGTTCTGGTATAGGTGTAGCTGAGACCTCCTAGGAGCTGAGTTGTAGCCACAGGGGCCCTGTCTATCTACACTAACTCCACCCATCCGTCTGTTTATCTTTCAACAGTGCTGGCCTGTGGACGACCCCAAGCAACAGCAGTGTATAAGGTGTCAGAATACGCACGCCGTTTTGGTGTTCCTGTCATCGCTGACGGAGGAATCCAAAACGTGGGCCACATTGCCAAAGCCTTGGCCCTTGGGGCCTCTACAGGTGAGGTTCCAGTACCCTGGGAGACTGGGGGGATTCCACCAGTGCCACTCAGGATCTGCCCCTAACATTCCATCTGTTCATAGTCATGATGGGCTCCCTCCTGGCTGCTACCACTGAGGCCCCTGGAGAATACTTCTTCTCTGATGGGATTCGCCTAAAGAAATACCGTGGTATGGGTTCCCTGGATGCCATGGACAAGCATCTCAGCAGCCAGAACCGATATTTCAGGTGGGACAGCAAGGTCAATTACGTCAAGCTAGCCTTGCCCTGACCACCTTACCTTATCTGTGTTTTGATCTTGCCTGTGTGTGTGTGTGTGTGTTTGTATTTTGCCTCTTCCTGCAGTGAAGCTGACAAAATTAAGGTAGCTCAGGGAGTGTCTGGGGCTGTGCAAGACAAAGGGTCCATCCACAAATTTGTTCCCTATCTGATTGCTGGCATCCAGCACTCCTGCCAGGACATCGGTGCCAAGAGTTTGACTCAAGTCCGGTAAGCTGGGAGCTGGACATGGGGAGTGGGGGGCTTGGTCCTAGGTCAATTAGCTACATCTAACATCTGCCTCTCTTCAGAGCCATGATGTATTCCGGAGAGCTTAAGTTTGAAAAGAGAACATCCTCAGCTCAGGTAGAAGGTGGTGTCCATGGCCTTCATTCGTAAGTAACCAATCCTCTTCTACCCCTATGTCTGGTGTCTCTGCTATGCCTTCTTCTGCCCTCACCTCACAGCTGGTCTTTCTGCCTACAGGTATGAGAAACGGCTTTTCTGAAAAGGGATAACAGTGTGCATACGCTCGCACACACATGCACACACACCCACACCCTGGTTTTTCAATAAAAGTTTGAAAAAGAATGCGATGCTTGACATTTTTTTTAGGATAAGGGGCAGGTTAGGCTCTGAAGCTGCCACCATCATAGATACACACAACACCCTTTTTTTTACAGAGGAACCTGAGGTGAGTTTTAGGTTTAAAAAGTCCCAAAATTCAGGAGCCAATTCTGATCAGCGCTGGCTCCCCAGGTCCAGGCTAACACTGAAATCACACAACAGTCCAAAGGGCTATAATACATAGATTCCTGCATGTATCTCTAAAGGACTTGGAGAGAATATTGAGGTCCCCCCTCCAATCTTCCTATGAGCAAGTAGATCTGCAGCAGATATGCACATGGACTCTTGGTCTCAGAGGAGCCAAGTAGCCTACATGAGATGCTTCTCTTGATTTCTTAACAGCCCCCTCCAGAAGCTCATTAAGCCAGCAGCCCATCGCCAGCCATACACCTAGTACGAAATGGATGAAGTGGATCAAGTATTAATTTGCTGACAAGTGTTATAGCGTCAAAGGGAAGGGGACAGTGAAAGCAGTGAGAACCCCTGGGCTCTGCAAAAGGTGCCCAGGTTTTCCCTGAAAAGTCAGGCACACTCAGGTCCTGTTGTTGCTCTCTGTTTCTTGGACCACAGATGTAAGCATAGTGCCTCCCGGTGGGGGAATGAGAGCAGCTCCTGTCACTCGGCCTTCATGACACAGGAAGTTGAAAGTGGCACAGGCATTGGGCTGCAAAAAGAAAGCTACCATTAGTGGGGCTAGGGCTAGAGCTAGCTAGGCTCCCTTCCCTGGGCGGTGAACTTACCGTGTCCTGCACCTCCACAGCGATGCCCCTCTGCCTCATGGCTTGCAGCACCTGGGATTGCAGCCGCTCAGTTCGGTCTCCAGTACCCACCACCACAATTTCTAGGGAAGGATGAGCATGGCTAATGTACAACCACTTAGGTCAGGGGTTGTGTGGGGGTGGCTTTCTGGGCTTCAGAGCCCAGAGTCTCCTTTGATACCTATTCCAGGCTCTAGCATCCAGAAAAGGGACAGGCTCTCTTCGGTAATATCCTGGTGGGATCCTACCTGTATGGGAAATAGGCAGGTCAAAAAGACTCACGCTGTTTTGCCCACAACCCTCTCACCTGTTCCGCGACAGGGGAAAGTATGCCGGGGATGAAATCAAAGGCAGGACTGCCAGCCTGTTTGCTGGTAGCAAGGAAGGGCTCACGTTCCACTGCACTACTGAGTGCGGAAGCAGCGCGCAGGGCCCCAAAACGCGATTCCCGTTGATCATGAAGCCGCAGCTGTTGTAGCTGTCGATGTACATGGCATGCGGGGACTCGCGCTGCAGCATAGAGATACGCGTCCGCTGATACAGCTCATCATCGGCGGGCGTGAGCCGATGCCCACGCCGTGGCACCCTGCGGAAGGTTATGGTCAGGGCATAGGAGGCCAGAAGAATGAGGCCGGGGTTGCCGATCGCAAAAGGCGGGATGGCCTGAGGCCCTGAGTCCGGGCTCACCATTGCATCTCCGTGGAAGGGCAGCGGAAAGTGGGTCGCGCGCGGAACAAGCCGCGGGACAAGAGAGCCGCAGCCATGGCGGACCAGCGCGCAGCGGGAGCGGCGCAGGGTGAGAACGGTTGTAGCAGAGCCCCTGCCCGCGCCGCTACAGCGCCCCCCCGCGTCCCGGAGGGCAGGGCACAGCTCGGCTGCCCCGGCGCAGGAGTGTGAGCAGGCCAGAGCTATCAGTCCCAGGAGGCCGCGTCCCCGGCGCGGCTCTGGTGTCTGCACCTGCCGCCCGTCCCGCCCTGGGCCCCCGCAGACTGTCCTGGGGGAGCCGGACACCTGGTGGCGTGGCCGACCTCAGAGCACTGCCCGAGCCCCAAGCCACGACCTGGGCCCCCGACTTTCAGCCATTACGCAGGGCTCACGGGGCCTGGGGCGGGGCAGCCGCGCACCTGGTCCAGTCCCGAACACCTGGTCAGGGCGTGGTGCCAGTTTCCAATTCCTAATCCCAGCCTTTGCGGCGTCAGGTTCCGGGGGCGGGGCGGGTGGGTAGAGTTTCCCCACCTCGCCGCCGAAACACGCCCCTCCCTAACCGTCACCCGCGCGACCGTTGGCGTCGCCTCCGCGCGTCGCGTGGGGCGTGGCCGCGCGTGGATTGGCCTCTTAGGAGCGCGAGTGGGCGTGTCCGGTGGCTTCTCCTTAAAATGGCTCCAGTCCGCAGTCAGAGCAAGCGGAAGGGGACGCCGTGGTGGGGTAATTGTAGCTCCGTTCCGGTGGGACAGACCCGGCCGCCCGAACCGGACCAGACATAGAAGTAGGCAGCGGCTGGAGCATCGCCCTGTCCTCAGTCAGCTTGCGTCTCGAGTTTCCCGCCCCCGTCTCGAGCCGAATCAGAGGGGCCTACTGGCACGAGAGTCGCTGGCGCCCGTACCGGGTTCGGGCATCTCCGCGCGCCCACCTTGTGGACTCAGGGAGACGTTGTGGCGTCTGCTACCAGCGGGCGGGAGGCTCGGCACAGCCGAGGACGGTCGCAGTGGATTGCAGGGGGTCCAGGCACCGCCGTGTGGGCCCATTGGGCCCACAGCGCTCCGGGCGCTGGCAGCGTCATCGGACAAAGGGCCCGGGGTGCGAGGGTGTCCCTGAGGCGGGCGCGCGGGTTTACTTCCTCTCTGGCCCTATGGGTGTGCTTCCCTCTTGGCTGATCCCGAAACCCGCCCCGCCACCGTCACCGCTTCAGTGGCCCTGGCTGCGTGTGACCAACCAACAGGACTAATCCTGCCCGGCAGATCTAATCCGGATCGGGACCCGGTCCCAGGGGAGGTCCTACCGCCCCTCCTATTGTTTTGGGACCCAGGTGAGCGCCTCGTTCCCACTAGACTCGGTTTCACCGCCTAATCCTATGTCTGCCTCGTGGGACTGGGAGTGGGGGGTTCTGTTCTGGCCCCAGGACGAGCGACCCTCCCTTCGGTACCCCCAACCCCCATGGCTGGACAGCGGGCAACGGAATCCCAAAAGCAGCTGTTGTCTCCAGAGCATTCCAGCTGCGCTTGGATTTCGTTCCCTGCTCTCCTGCCTGAGCAGCGTCCCGGCCGAGATGGGGTGGGCTAACCTTGATCCTCAGACATACTTCATTGGGTCGCTCTGGTCTTCATCCCTTTCAGGTGCACCCTGAGGCTGGAAGTGACGGGTGTTAACGTTGGAGAGTTGGGGCGGTGGCCATCTCTGAATACCTGGGTAGCATTGGCGAGGGAGGGCTGACTAGGCCTCCGAATAAGGCTGCAGTGGCGGTGAGTCCCATAGGGCCGGCCCAGCCTGCAGCTCGCTAAAGATAGCCCTTCACTTCCTGGGGAAAAACCACCCCAACCGTCTTCTTATACCGAAAGTAGCTGAAGTCCCCAGGTTGGCCTCAGTCCCCTGACCCTCTTAGCAATTTTCCCTGGTCAAAGGCCTGCGATATGGAAAGCGCTTTGGAATGACACGATCACTCCCGTTGAGTGGGCACCCAAGAAGCCATCGGGAATGTCGTGTCCGCCCAGTGCTCTTTCGGAGGCTCCCAGTAGGGCTTTGCAGTCCTAATACAGAAAGGGGTCTTGCCAAGATTTTCCTGTCCCTAGAATGCACCCCTCTCTTGAGTTTCTGAGCACCTCACTTGCACCAGGGCAGAGATGCTGGGTTTCAGTACTTTGCTGCTTCAAATTCAATCTCCATTAAAAGAAAGAGGAAAGAGGAATTTGAATTACACTAAAGTGAAAACAGTTGGAAGTCTTCTTGGGGCAGCAGCAGCTTTCTCCAAGCGCTAGTAGAGGAATGAGATATTCCAACCAAGAGCAGTCCTTTAACTGGGGCTTTTGCATAGTCACATTGTTTAGTTGGCCCACAATGGCTCCTTGCCTAGACCAGGAAGCAGGAGGAGCCCTGTTAAAGTACACCGGGTTAAAGGAGCACCATTGAAAGCTGGCGATTCTGGAAACTGTCATGGTTCTAATTCTCCAAGAGAAGAAAATCAGTTACTTCAGAGTGGGCACTAATCGGGAATAAAGACGACCCATACATACCTCAAAGGAGGAAATGCTTACAAAAAACCTAAAGACGTAGGACGCAATTTTTAAAAAATTTTTAATCGTGAAAGAGGCGTTAAAGTTAGCTGCTCGGTTCCAGTAACAATTCACTTAGAACTTGTGTCCTTATCACGTGTAAAGTGCGAGAAATGAAACATCACAAGCTATGTAAGACTTGGATAAAGAGAAGGATTGTGAGCACCACCTGGTCGCAATGAATGCTTTCCCAGTTTGCTAATAGGAATGACAGGGAAGAACCATAGCCCCGGGGAGTGGGATTCCGGGGCGGGGCAGAATTGGAGATCCCGGCGGAGGGAGCGCGGGGATCATAGGTCGAAAGCTGCCAGCGAAGCGCTCTGGTGCACCTGTCCAGTCAGGAACCGCCGCCAGGTCTCCGCCCCGCTGTTCCGTCCTCCCGGAAATTCGGTCTCCAGACATTGTTTCCGGTTCCGTTCTTTCCTTCCGGTCGCCATGGCGACGAGGCGCCTAGGGGTTGAGGAGACGCTGGGAGCCCTGAATGCGGCTCTTGGGCCTGGCGGCCCAGTGTGGTTCAAGGAGACTCGCGCCCGCCACCTGCGTGCTCGAGACTTCTTAGCGCCGCAGCGCGCGCTACAGGCGCGCTTCGGGGACGGACAGGTAGGCGGAAGCCGGCGGAGACGTGCGGGCAGGTTGACAACAGACCCCCATTCACCCTCTTGTCCACCCACAGGTGCCCGAGCGCGTGGTCCGAGCTGTTGCCACCCTGCAGGGCCCAGGTGTGGCCCCGGTGCTGCGTTGCGCGCCGACCCCCGCGGGCCTGGCGCTCCAGCTGCAGCGGTCGGTTGTTTTCGAGCGCGTCCTCGGCGCCGTAACCGCTTACGCCGCTCCGGCCGCGCCCGCCGCGCGGGCCGCGCAGTGCTCGCGCGTCATCCTGCACTGCCCCGCGCTGCGCGGCGCGCCTAGCGCACTGAGCCTGAGCCAGCTGCGTGCTATTCTAGTGGCCGACCACTTGGCACGAGCGCTACTTGCTCACGGGTGAGCAGGGGCGCGGGGCAGCCCTAGGCCGAGAACCCACGGCCCTTTAAAACTGGAAAGGGCAGGGGTAAGCTGGGCCAGGCTGAAGTGGCTGCCTTCGCTTCGCAGGGTGTGTGTGCGCCACTTGCCCGCTGTGCGGGACCCACACATGGTGACCTTCCTGCAGCAACTGCGGGTGGACTGGCCCACTACCTCGAAGAGGGTCGCCACTGAAGCCCTGAGGACCCGAGCACTTGCAGATCTTAGCCCTTCCTGTGACAGAGGAACCTTGCCACCTGGAGCCCTAGGCAGAGTATGTCTGAAAGAAGTGGTGGAAGAACGGGGGCACAGAGCTGGCTATGACCCCAACCTCACAAATTGTCTGGGTAAGACCTCTTGCTTAGCAAGGCCTGAAAGAAGGCAGGGGTTTTACACTCCCTCCTAGCCTCAGGGCCCTACATTCTCTGCAGTAACTGAGGATCTGCTCACCGTGTTGGCTGAACTGCAGGAGGCTGTGCAGCACTGGCATGAGGACACCTCCCAAGGCTTGGTTAGTGACTGACTCCTCACCCCTTGGGCTTCCGTAAAAGCAGGTGCCCTGCAGTGACTGTCCTCCCTTACCCTGTAGGCTGCAGCCTCAGATGCTGGTACAAGCAGCTGCACAGTTGTTCATGTGGTGAACTGTGAGGATGAGTTCCAGCAACAAAAGTTGGACTTGCTTTGGTGGAAGCTAGATGACCAGGCTCCTCTCATACAGGTAGGTTCGAGATGGCAGAGTCCCTACCAGTTTCATCCCATCCAAGGGATGTTAGCTGCCAGTCTAGATGACACTTGACCATGGGTAAGATACTAGATTTGGTGCAGCAGGTACAGAGGTCTGGAAGAGGGCAGGATCTGAAGGCAGATCCCAGAAGACAAAGAGGTTGAAGAGGCTGGAGTATGTTCTGAGGGGTGAGAGACTGAACTTAGGAGGGAGGTCCTAAACCTGGGTAAACTTCAAGCACCTGATTTAGGCTCCTTAAGAGGGGGGTGGGGTGGGTTATTTTTTTTTTTTTGATCAGCGGTCCCAGGGGGGTGGGAGGAGGAGATACACCAGAGAGAATGGGGAGCAGAATAGGCAGATCTACTGAAATACACTGCTGAGGGACCAGACAGGGGAGGTCTGCTGTGTTGTAAGTTTATTTTTACATCATTTTGTGCCTTTTAGCACTGAGACTTTTAACCCCTGTGCCTCTCAGATTGATAGCACTGATTTAACCACCAGGAAGGCCTTGGAGGGGCGAGGGAGGAGGGTTTAATCATGGAGAGTATCACCACCTGGCTGAGCCCCTGCTGTCTTCCTGACAGAAGCACCTGGTCTGTGGCCCCGTGAAAGTATCTAGTTCACCTGGTACCCTGACTGCCCCCGAGTACTATGAGTAAGTGAGCCAGAACAAAGGTCATCCAACCTGGGTAGTAGAGGCATAGGGGGACCCTGCCCCCTGGCCCTTCTCTCACCATTTTCTTTTTTTCAAAGATTGATTTATTTATGCATACAGTACTGGGGTACAGGCCAGAGGTGCAGGATTCACCAGAGACAAGAGTGGGGAGCGTAACAGATTGATGAAGTACACTGCTGAGGGGAGCAGTGGGTGGGCCAGGGGAGGTCTGCCATGCCATGTGGGTCACCTACAGGGCGGGGATCGAACTCATGTTGAAGTGGCTTTAGCTTCTTAGTGCTGTGCTTTAACCTGCTATGCCACCAGGGAGCATTTTAAAAAAATATTTATGCATACATGAGCTGGGGTATAGTTCAGAGGTGAGGGGGGATGTGTGTGAAAGGACTCACTGGAGACAGTGGCGAGCAGAACAGCAGATTGACTGAAATACACTGATAGCTTTATAGTGCTATGACCTCTTGTGCTACCAGAGAGGCCCCCTTTTCTCACTCTTTTCAAAATGCAGGCTCCGACACGCCCAGGTGTGTAAAGCCTCAGCACTGAAGCACGGCAAGGACATAGTGCAAGGTGTGCCTGGGAAACCTGGATCTGATTTGGGTGGAGGCAGGTCATCTGCACCCTTGCCTGAAGAATGACTGACCGACCTGCCTAACTATACTTCCTCAGAACCAGCATGGACAGACATCTTTGGGGTTCTCTCTGTGGCAACCATCAAATTTGAGATGCTCAGCACTGCCCCACAGAGTCAGGTGAGCCAAGGCGCCCCACAGGATCAGGGCTGGTGGCACCATGTATGGTGGCTGTCCTTCCTTTCTGCAGCTGTGCCTCCATTCCCTAGCTGCTCCTGGCCCTGACCGATGGCAGCATTTCCACGAAGGGCACCAAGAGTGGCACTTTTGTCATGTATAACTGTGCTCGTCTCGCCACGCTCTTTGAGAGTTACAAGCACAGCATGGAACAAGGTCTTTACCCGACTTTTCCACCTGTGAGCAGCCTGGACTTCTCACTGCTACATGATGAGGTAAGTGCCCCCGTGAGTGACTAGTACACGCAGGTGTGAACTCTTCTCTCCCAGCACTCTTCTCCCCCACAGGGTGAGTGGTTGCTGCTCTTCAACAGTGTCCTCCCCTTCCCAGACCTGCTGAACCAGACAGCAGCCCTGGCCTGCACAGCCCCAGGGCGCCATGTTACTACACGCACAGAGATGGTGAGGCACAGAAAACCAGAACACACACTGCACACTCGAGTCTTTATTATGGTTTGGGAAACAACAACAAAAGACAGGCCAGTGACTCGGTTTCTGTCTCTAGGTGTGCAAGTTCTTGGTGCAGCTCAGCATGGACTTCAGCTCATACTATAACCGTGTACACATCCTAGGGGTAAGCAGCACACAATGGGGGGGGGAGGCGCACGGGGGGGGGGGGGGGCGGGGGGAGGGGGCAGCACGGGGGGGGGGGGAGGCAGAGGATGGACCAGTGGGACACTTTTCTCCTCCAGGAGCCTCAACCACACCTGTTTGGTCAGATGTTTGCCCGTCTGCAGCTTCTGCAGGCTGTGCGTGAAGTGCTGCACACTGGCCTGGCCCTGCTGGGTCTGCCCCCACTGAGCCACATCTAAGGCCCCAGAGGCCCCAGTATCTGGGAGTGGCCACAAAGTCATCAACTGAGGGAGAATTTTAAAAGCCCACAGATTTTGCTAGGGACCTGGAACCAAAATAAACTGCTTCTGTTTCAAAGCTTTGTCCTACCTAGGGGATGGGGCATCTTCTTGGTTGGCCGGGTAGCACTCTACTCACCTCCAGCTCCTGCTCTGAAAAACCAAGGGCCTGCAGCTGCCCCTTCCCGTTAAGGCATGATGGGCAGAGGCACAGTTACTCCTGCTCCCCTCTGTCCACAAGCAGGCCCCATGCCCAGGATGCCAGCTGCCACGGGATACCTCAGTCATACCAATTGTAAACCTCAAGCCCCTGGCCCCCAAGAGCACAGCGGTGGCCAAACTCAGGGCTCACAGGCCAGCAGTCCATGTCAGCCACGTCTGGTACATGGTACACTGTACTGTTCATGAAGGTGGGTTCACCATGCCCCAGACGCCAGAAGGTCAGTCGTTGATCAATGGAGGCTGAAACCATGAGGCTTGGACTTAGGATCTTGAGGCCTGTCACATGGGCAGCATGTGCACAGGGGACAGAGTATTCCTCTAGCACATGCAAGTGGGGCAGCAGCTCAGCACCTCCGACAGCCTCTTCCAGCTCTGGCATCTCCACAGCAAGCACAAAGATATGAAGGGAGCCATCTTCACTGCCACTGGCTATGAGATGGCCCTCACGTGTGGGCAAGGAATGCAGGCTGTTGACACCACAGCTGTGAGCCTGGAGGGTCAGGCATGGGGTGCCCAGCTCTGGAAGAAGATGGTTGTCAGGGCTCAGTGTGCCACACAGGTGAGACAAAGTGAGAAGTGGGGGGGAAGGCATTGCGGCACGCTAGCCACTTACGATAGGGAAGTCCAGGATCAGCTGGAGGCTCCAAGGCAGTGGAGCTATGATCCAGTATAGTGGTGAGATCCCAGAAGGCCAAGCTGCCATCAGTGGCTGCACTGCACAGGAACAGCCTCCTGGGAGCCAGGAAAAGGGCAGTTGGGTCAGTGAGGGAGATAAGGAACAAGAGTCCCCACCCAACCCTGCTGGGCCACCACACAGCTCTCCTTACCGCCGTTGGTTGGGTGCTTCGTGAGTAAAGGAGTGGACCTTGAGGACACACCGCTTGTGGTGGAAGGTTTCAGCTAGAAGCTGCAGCCGACGTCCAGAGTCCTGTAAAAGAAAGAGCCTGGGGGCGGAGGAGGCTCCGTTCAGAACCCAATCTAAACAGCCTCATGTTTCCTGGTTCCCACACACAATATATTCTCACCTCACCGCTCCATCACTGCAGGCAGCAGCCACAAGGGGGCCAAGGCCGGGCCTGTCGAGCTCACAAACTGCTAGGGACATGTACCTGCAGAGACAACACACAGCCATCAGGGGGAGCCTGGGAGTAGCTGTAAGAGGCTTGCCCCACCATCCCAATGCCCACCTCAAGCCCTGGGCTACAGTGCACATCACCTGGTCTCTGGGTCCACCTTGACCATCCGGTGTCGATTGCGCTGCCGGTCCCAGTATTCATCTAGCCGGTGGGATGACAGGTGCATGACATGGCAGGCGAGACGGCTTGGGGTGCAGGGGTCTGGAGTGACCATGATGCTGAAGCAGTGCATCTCAGCCCGGCCCCCAGCAGATACCACATGAGCAGTAAGGCCTGGTCGAGGATCCTGAGAGCCACCTAGGGTGCCAACACCCCACACAGCCAGCGCACGCACAGAAGAAATATGGTTACAAACAGCTGTAAGCGCATGAGCTGAGCCAGTGGCTGTGGGGAGCGCCAGGACACAGACAGTGGTGTCCTCACTGCACGTGATCACAATGTCAGTCAGGCCGGGTCCTTCGCTGCCAGGCTCCAACTGGTCAGGCTGCATGAAGTTGGGCACCCCATACTCAGGCCCCAGGGTGATGGTGCCCACACGCTTTACACAAGTGATCTCGCGACCATGCAAACTCTCCCGGAGAATCACATGTGGTCGGGTGCAGCCACCCAGAGCCCGGTACAACATGACGTCCCCATCCTTGAGGTAGGCAAAGGCCATAGTTGCTTCAGTATCAGAGAAGGCCCAGGACCGATGCCCTCCACCACAGTTGATGATGTGTAGCTTTTCATGCGATCTGGGACTCCACACAACAAATTCATTGGCATGAAAACCCAAGATGACCATGCTCCCATCAGCCATAATGCGGAGCCCAGCCACCCAGTTCATGCCGCGACAGGACTTCTGCCTTAGGACTGGGTGGAGCTGGCCGCTTCGCACAAACAGCTGGTAGTAGGTGCCATCACGACCTGTAGTGTAGACGTAGCCACTGTGGCAGGTGACCGAGGTAACACCCTGCTTCCCATGCAGAGAAGGAAGGGTGGATACAGGGCCCCACTCAGCCACGGCATCCTCACCCTCACCACTACCACTACCCACTCCAGGTGCTCCAGCACCAGCCCCAGCTTTGCCGCCAATTCCAAGGTCCTTGAGCAGTCCCGGTCTGGTGGGGAACAACAACACAGAGCCCCGGCGGTCCCCACATACCAAGAAGTCACCAGGGGGTAGGAAGGCACTGCAGGTGTGCCATCTCTGCTTGCTTGGAGGAAGCAGGTACCGGCAACGTTCCTTGACAAAGATGGCCTTGCCAGAGGGTGCAGCTGAGATCTCCAGGCAAGCCACCACCCCACCGGGGCCTGATGCCAGCAAAAGAAGTTCCTCGTAACCACGCAGGGCCCAACTCAGGCTGTGCACCTTGCCGTGGAAAAGGGTCAGGTCCACAGCTGCAGTTGGAGTGTTGATGGGGACAACCTTGACACGCCCCTCCCCACTGGCCATGGCACACAGTCCAAATCCCTCAGGACCAGGGGCTGCCTCTAGGAGGCAGTAGGACTGAAAGCGCTTGTCCTCGAGCAGCTGTTCCCAGCATTTGACCTCAAGATCATAGAGGTACAAGGAGCCTGTGTCAGTCACAGCCAGAAGTCGCCATGAGCCAGCCAGTGTCACAGCCTTGAGGGTACCTGGCCTGCTACGGGATTTGAAGCAGAGAGCAGATACCCCTGAACCTGGATATCCACGTCCTACCAGATGCCACAGACGGATGCCTGAGTCATCACCCCCAGTGATCACCCAGGCCTGTCTGTCATGCGCAGCTATGGCCCGGATCCCGCGGCCTTGGTGGCCCCGGAAGGCCTGGAGAATCTCACCTTCATGGCTCCATACCAAGCAGACACAGTCCTCTCCTGCACTGATAAGGTAATTCTCTAGGAGCTTGACCTGCCACACACGGGCACTGTGCCCAAAACAGTGCCCAATATTCTGCACCCGACCCCCAGGCACTCGTAGGTCACCCACCTTCCAGATGCGAACACTTCGATCTTCGGAAGCTGTGGCCAGCAAGCCCTTACTTTCCAGGTATGACATGCTGAAGATGACACCCACATGCCCACTGACTCTCCGGTCAGGGGCCACAGGCTTGTCTGTTAAACCGGTTGCTGGGTACCAGACCAGCAGCTGATTGGAAACAGCACCTGCTACTATGGTTAACTCCTTCCAGGTGTCTCCGATCAGACAGGCTGAGGAGAGGGTGCATCTGTCTGTGCAGGGCACTTCCTGCATGATACACCCTACCACAGGGTCATATAGCACCACTGAGTTGTGGCCCAGGGCCAAGGCCATGTTTCCCTCAAGCCAACGTGCATCCCAGATCCAATCAGACATGTTCCATAGGCCAGAGCGCCAGAGCTCCCGGAAGCGGCCCTGCCCCCAGCTAATTTTCACAATCCGAAGTCCCTTGCTCCCAAACACAGCCACCATAGCCTCTGTGTCAATGTCTCCGTTGGGCTCTGGTCGTACCCGGAACCCATGGATAAGGTAGTGGCCAAGCAGGTTCTGCACTCGCTTCATCATCCGCAGATGTCCACCAAAATCCAAGCTGTACACCAGGACATCCGGCCCCTCGCCTAGAGAAAGGCAAAAAGCCTCGTCAGAACCCCATCTAACGCTGATGTGTGCAAGACATCAGAGATGAGACAGGGAGCAGGGCGAATTCGCAGCATGTTAACCTATGAATGTGTTAAGACACACAATCCTGAAAGTTTGAAAATCCAGGGTCTCAGCTTCAACTGGATTTTCAATCTGGCTCTCTGATCCCCTCACCAGTCATTCCTAACATTCACTTCAATCATGAATTCCTCAACTCACCTGTCATGCTTCACACACAGGAATCCTCCTCTCAGCCCCAGACAGCAAATCCTTAGCCTCATCTGCTTCTACTTACATTCTTTCCACTCAATCCTCTCCCCCCAACCAGGGAAGAAGGTGTCCCACTAAAGTAATCTTTCTACCTTGGGGTGACAGCATGATCCTGATTTCCAGGGGTCTTAATAAGATGTGCGCATATTCATTATGGATGGAGAGAACTAAGAGGCAGCCCCAACTTTAATGGCAGAGGCTTAGGCTGAAGACCTTGGGCCTGTTTCTGGGTGGCTGGAGCCTCTCCCAGTGTATGGAAGTCTAGACTTAGCGCCAGCCCAGCAGCAACACATCACGTCCTGGGGAGGAGAGGAGACAGGTATCAAGGGTATGAAGTCTGGCTACAATAAAGACATGAATTTAGGCCAAGGAAACCCTCTTTTCCTCTCTTCTAAGATATATGTTCTAATTTTTCTCCTCCCCTTTCCTCAGTCTCTCCTGCATACTGGTACTTTCTGAGGCTTGTCCAGCAGCTCCTTCCACATGACTACTCACCTGCTTTTAGGGCAGCTCATGTATCCCGTACACACGCAACAGAACTCATACACCCAGACCAACCCAGATGTCTCCAGAAATGGACCCTCAGATGCCTTCTGGCTGAGAAGATGCCTCTGGCCATGGGTACCTCCACTCTTGCTACCTCTTCAGGTTCCCTGGATGACTATTACCATCCTCTGTCCGTCCCCCAGGCCAGACCAAGGAGTGCACAGCTTTCCCTTCTTAGTTTCACACAAATTCTATCTCCAAATTCTGTGGATTTCATTTTCTAAAGATTTTGCAAATGTTCCCCACCAGTGTGATCTGTTAACCTGAAGTGATAGTAATTGCCCCTCATACCAGTCCTAGCAATCTTAATCAATATTTTATGAACATGTGTTGAGAACTGATAATAAACCAAAGAACAATATGCTACAGTAGTGAATAAAACAAGCACAGACTCTGCTCTTATGGATTAGGCAGACATTAAAAACATCACACAGGTTAACTACAAAATTGTAATTTTGGTAAATTCCAGGAAAGAATATATAGTTGCTTTAAAATAAAATGGGTGGGGGAAGGGATAGAAAAAAAGAAAATGGAAACGCCTACTCCAGTGGCTGTTAGCAAGGGAGCAGCTTCCCCACCATCAGGTATTTAGCAACAGCTGCAGACACACTGTACACCTGACATTAGCTAAAGGCTGAGAAGTAATTTGCAGACATTTTTTGGTTGTCACACTGGGCACCGACTATTGGTGCCTAGGAGTGGAGACTGGGGATACTGCTGAACATCCTACCATGCACAAATGCACCAACCCTTCACTCACCGAATGATCTGATCCAAAGTGTCACCAGTGCCCAGGCTGAGAGGTCCTGCTCTACTCTACTCTACAGCCTACCAGTGCCAGGGGAGGTCACCTTGAAGATATGTTCATGATTAGCCAGAAGATCAGGCAGGGGACAAGCGGGAAGTGACCCTTTCTTGGAAGAGAAAATAGCAAGTCTGGCTGGAAAAGGAACTGAAAGGCTCAAGGACTGGCTACAGACAATGCTACAGTGGGGGGTCTGGGAGACAACTGCAGGGCCTTGCATGACCGAAATAAAGGTAGAAAAACAGACAGGTGTCACATATATTAAGTCAAAATCAACCAGGCTGGCTGATATGGGGAGTGAGGCTTTGGCACCTGAGGGGCTAGGGTTCCACCTTCTGAGCTCGGAGAACCACTGACAGTGGTAAGGATATTTCAATCTGTAGGTACCTATTTACCCAGGTACCTATTTACCTGGAGAGACATGAATAAGGGTTTAAAGTTTGAATGCACACAGAACTTGAGAATTGAAGCATTAGACAAGTCACTCTGGAAGGCACAGCAGGTGATTTCACTTGAGCTTTTTAACCTCCCGTTTACCCAAGACATTCCCCTGCTTAAAACTGCTCAATGGGGCCTCCCCACCACTTTTAGGCACAGTCAGATCAAGGCCTAAAATGGTATGCCTGTGTTCATTTCTCCAGCTGCTTCTCCCAGGCCCCACCCCTGCTCCAGCCTCACAAAAATTCTGTCCTCACCCCAAAGGTAACCGTCTCTTAGGGTCAAGGCCCTTAGGATGCTTACCCTCAGCCAAGAACTCAATATTCCTTTTCTCAGTTGGCTCCTGTGTTTCTGCTGAGTTTTGCCCTCTTCCAGGGGCCTTAGGAGTTTAGCTCAGAGCAGAAACCCTGGGATCCCAGTGCCCAGGACTCCCTACACCAGATCAAAGCTGGGTTATTCCTACACACCCCTGCCGGGGTAGGACCGGAAGCAGCTCGCTCAAGGAGTGACGGCCTCAGCGCCCTTACACCCCGCAACGCTATCAGTCACTAGCAACTTCCATTCAGGCCTCACTGCTCCCCAGGGCTGGCCTGTGCTCCCCGACGTGACACTCCTTGGAAAGGCAATGACGTGGGGTCCCCTGGGACCCACAACCTTCGGGGGAATCTCAGCCCTCCCTTCCCCAAGCACCGGGAGGTTTTCGCCCCTGGTTTCCGCGATTCCATCCTCTGCAAAGAAGCGCGCCGGCCCCGCCCGCCGGCCCCGCCCCGCCCCGCACTCACGTCCAGCTCCCGCAGCAGCAGCTCGATCTGGTAGCGGTCCTTGAAGTCGGGGCTGTACTTCTGGTGCAGGTCCGAGTCCACCTTGCGCAGAAGCTCCTGGGCGTCCTTCAGGTCCCGGTGGAACTAGGGGAGGCCGGCCTGTCACCAGCGGGGCCACAGGCCCTGGGGGCTGGCTCATCGTGGCTGGGGCCTCAGGCCCCCCCCTCCACTCTGGGGCACCCCCAGCCCTCCTGTGTGGAGGCCACCGCCCCGCACCCCTCTGCCGGACACACCTGCCGGAATCCCTACTTTCATGCTACGTCTTGATGCACCTGAGACCAGCTGCCCTGCTTCGTTCTAGACTTCTGCCCACTGTTCAGTCCCGCCGCTCTCAGCCAGCGGCCCTGGGGGCTGCGGTGTGGGCAGGAGCAGGGCCCACGGGGCCCGTGGCCAGCAGGGTGCGCGACCCCC